CCCCCCCCCCCCCCCAACACACATGCACACTTTTCTTAATGTCTGGAGCCAACTCTGACGACACCACCTTCTCAATCTGAGTGATACTATCACGTAGCTGTTAGAAGCTGAGATGACAAGACTTCTAGACCTCTGGTCCTGACACCCCTGGAGGAAAGCGCAGTGAGAGGGCACAGAGTGACACAGGTGCTGGTAGTTCAGTTCAACGTAAAAAGCTGGGCGAGACACAGGATCCCTGCAGACTAGAAGCGTAGTCAGGACAAGCAAAGGTTGGTGACCAGTAAGACAGATAGCAGGCAGACTCATAGACAGGATGCAGGCTAAGGTCACACCTGATGATTAGCAGAGAAAGTCGTTTTTAGGAACTTAGCTGAGATCAAACCAGAGATAACAAAGACAAGTCATGGTTAGGAACTTAGCCAAGGTCAATTAGAAGGAGGCAGAGCAGAGAGAAATCCAAGGGCAGCAACAGGGAAGCAAATCAGGAACAGGTTCAGGATCAGATTTCAGGAAACATCTGAAGACCATCCAGCAACTTCCTAGCTCAGCAATGTCTTTTAAAAGAGAACTATGAACCAACCATTTTTCTCTTTAGGGTCATAGGAGGACATTTACTATGTCTTCATGTGACCCAAAACATGTGGCTATTGCCCGCTATATGCTGACAGCGCAGAGCCATGCTGTGGCTGGGAAAGATCCTGACAATATTCCACCCCACCACCTGATTGACAGTTGGCTTTGCCTCCTCCTACACTGTCCCACCAGTCAGCACTGAAGGAACAGAGAGGGGAGGGGGGAAACCTTGCGGGGAGCAGTGACTGTCAGTCACCGTTTTCTGCAGGGAGAATATTGTGAACTGAGCGATCAGCGGCATGTGATTGCTCAGTTCTCGATCTATAGAGGTGATGTGTGACAGCTGCAGTGTCACACATTAGCTCTAATTATGGGGACAAGTGCATTTCACTCTCCCCATAATTCTCCTTTACATATGCCTTCTAGTGCAAAGCTTGGGATTAGGTGTAAGTGCAACTGCACGCCCACAAATTCAAGCAAATTGCCCTCATAGATTAGCTTGCTTGTGGGAATTTGCCCATGTAGAATGGAGCTGGAGATGACCCTTGTCCTGTGTATTGGCACACGCACACATCTGCTCCCACTATTGTCCTGACAGCTACTGTAGAGAGGATGGCAAGAGGTTGGCATATAAGTCAAATTCAAGTACTTACACTGCTTGCATTTAAAAAAAGTAAGTTTATTGATGTATGAGTTAATACAAAGTTAGATCAATTCGTTTTTTTTACTTGCCTGAAGTTCATCTTTAAGGTGGTCGTAGATAGGGAGTTGTCTCCTCCATAGGGACAGTTAGGGGAGACATGATGGAAGTTCCCAATCATGCTAAGCCCTGCTGCTACATTCCCTGATATATAGTTGAAATGCAGAAGCAAGGAACATGCAGTTAGTTTCTTCTCATCTTCATAACAAGAGGGAAGGCTCAGCCAGATCACAGTGATTTTCAAGCAGATAGGGAAAGGTGTTTATTTTAGTCCCATTAGCTACCTTTTAACTTGAACATGATTCATCTGAGCATCATATAGGATCTGGTGCAAGACAAGCCTGTTTATAGCTACCCTTAGATGATGTCATATTTGTTTGACATGATGGGGTTGATTTACTAACCTTATAAACACGCCACGAACAAGTATACACCTCTGTAGTGTGTTCCCTCCCAGCATGATCTATGGGTGGAATCTAGACACCTTTGTAGTGTGTACACACCCAGCAGGTGTGTTGTGCAAAGCCCTGCATGAATTGCAAGGTGATGTTGTGTAAATTAGCTCTACGTTGTGTTGCTTGCGTTGATGAATGCAGGAATGTAAATGCATGAGCTAACCATTTTTGTCTAAACTGTGAAGCAGCATTATATATGCATCATGTGCATGATTTTTCCATATATGGCATTAGTGGAAATATGCTTTTAGAGACTTGCATGCCGCTATTAGAGCGGCATGTAGCCTATGGCACATGCTACATGACGCGCACGTACGTAAATACATAAAAATGCGCCATAACGGCGTGAAAATGTGACACGTTGCTCGTGTTTGGTTGATAAATACGTTTTGCTGTGTAAAAATGCACACGCACCTGGTGCGTGTTTAGGTTAGTAAATCACCCCCGATGTGTTTGGGTTACTGATCTCCTTGAGACAATATAACCAGTAGGCACCCAAAATTGAAATGAGGACAAAATATCCCTTCAACAGGCTTCTATCTCCTAAAGAGCAAGCATGCCCCATTAACTGAAAATTCAATTTTAGCAATGGGATTAAGCATGTATTAGGTGCTATCACCTCAAGCACTATGCCAGGTAGATCTGTAGTGCAAAGGGAGCTGCCTAATGAGGCAAACTGGGCAGTCGCAAGGCCCTAAGTGGCAGCCTAATTAGAGAGCTGCCTGGTGGAGGGGAGGGCCCAGTGAGATGCGGTCCAGCTGACTTTGTACAGGAGGTGGAGGAGAAGGAGCGGGTGGCTCGGGCTGGCCATAGCATGTGATCTGATGGTGGGATGTCCCAGAAGCAGGCTGGGGACTGCAATGTATCTTGTTGATACTGATGGCACTTCGAGCTGCAGGTAAGAGGACCAGCACATGTATGCAGAGAAAGGGACTATGCAAAGTCCCTTTGAGACCCTGCACAGCCCACCATAGACCCCACACAGCCCACCATAAACCCTGCACAGCTCTCCTGAGACCCCTTGTGCGCTGTATCCAGTGACTGACAGGTTGTGAAAAATGTCCTTAACAGGATAGGGTGGGGTGAATTTAGATTAAGGGGGTGCCTGAATTTAGTCTTGCCTAGGTCAGCACAAACCAAAATACACCACTGGGCATACAGTATTTTCTCTTTAACGTTGCCACAATTGTCCAGAGCAGTCTTTTTGTTGATCTTTTCCTCATTCATTCTGTTTTTATTTAAAGAGTTAGTCCACCCAAATTTTTTTTAAATTATAGGTGGCACATAGGGGGCTGTCTTACACCTTTGTAGTGTGTACACACCCAGCAGGTGTGTTGTGCAAAGCCCTGCATGAATTGCAAGGTGATGTTGTGTAAATTAGCTCTACGTTGTGTTGCTTGCGTTGATGAATGCAGGAATGTAAATGCATGAGCTAACCATTTTTGTCTAAACTGTGAAGCAGCATTATATATGCATCATGTGCATGATTTTTCCATATATGGCATTAGTGGAAATATGCTTTTAGAGACTTGCATGCCGCTATTAGAGCGGCATGTAGCCTATGGCACATGCTACATGACGCGCACGTACGTAAATACATAAAAATGCGCCATAACGGCGTGAAAATGTGACACGTTGCTCGTGTTTGGTTGATAAATACGTTTTGCTGTGTAAAAATGCACACGCACCTGGTGCGTGTTTAGGTTAGTAAATCACCCCCGATGTGTTTGGGTTACTGATCTCCTTGAGACAATATAACCAGTAGGCACCCAAAATTGAAATGAGGACAAAATATCCCTTCAACAGGCTTCTATCTCCTAAAGAGCAAGCATGCCCCATTAACTGAAAATTCAATTTTAGCAATGGGATTAAGCATGTATTAGGTGCTATCACCTCAAGCACTATGCCAGGTAGATCTGTAGTGCAAAGGGAGCTGCCTAATGAGGCAAACTGGGCAGTCGCAAGGCCCTAAGTGGCAGCCTAATTAGAGAGCTGCCTGGTGGAGGGGAGGGCCCAGTGAGATGCGGTCCAGCTGACTTTGTACAGGAGGTGGAGGAGAAGGAGCGGGTGGCTCGGGCTGGCCATAGCATGTGATCTGATGGTGGGATGTCCCAGAAGCAGGCTGGGGACTGCAATGTATCTTGTTGATACTGATGGCACTTCGAGCTGCAGGTAAGAGGACCAGCACATGTATGCAGAGAAAGGGACTATGCAAAGTCCCTTTGAGACCCTGCACAGCCCACCATAGACCCCACACAGCCCACCATAAACCCTGCACAGCTCTCCTGAGACCCCTTGTGCGCTGTATCCAGTGACTGACAGGTTGTGAAAAATGTCCTTAACAGGATAGGGTGGGGTGAATTTAGATTAAGGGGGTGCCTGAATTTAGTCTTGCCTAGGTCAGCACAAACCAAAATACACCACTGGGCATACAGTATTTTCTCTTTAACGTTGCCACAATTGTCCAGAGCAGTCTTTTTGTTGATCTTTTCCTCATTCATTCTGTTTTTATTTAAAGAGTTAGTCCACCCAAATTTTTTTTAAATTATAGGTGGCACATAGGGGGCTGTCTCAGCCTCTGGAATCTTGTAGGATTTGGATACTCCACCACAGTGATCTCCCTGTCAAAACTGGAAGTTTTCTGTGTTCTGCCCACCTTTGTGTGTTCCAGCTCCTTATGTTACATTTTCCATAATATACAATAAATAGAAATTCAAACAGGGAGAGTGGAAACCCCTTATAATTGCCCAGCAGGTGTGCAGACCTAAGGCATCAAGTGTACGGATCTCACGGGCAGAGTACCCAAGTGATGTCAAAATATAAAGTTAGGGTGAACCGACCTTTTAGACGGACATATTTTACATTATAATATTTTTATATGTATATGAATATTTTCTGCTTTATCAGTAAATCTGCTATAAAACTGTTCAAAGGTGTGTTGGTGTGCTGTGGATCCACGATTTGGGTGGTACATTGGTGTAGGGGGATAGAAATATCCGGTTATTCAGCGGCTCCTTCGGGGGTGAGCGCTACATTAGTTTAATTTATCTGTAAATGCATTTATCACACTTCCCACTTGTATTTTTCTTCCTCATTTTTCTTCCTCATTAGGAGTCCCCACAGGAGAGCTCACAGACGAATCGATGCCCTATGTACGAATGTTAAATATCCCTGGCAACAAATACCTCCGGACACTGAGGAACCCAGTGATGAAGAGCCAGAACAGGATCACGTCCAGGAAGAAAAAAATTACTTTAGGTAAACATGGATCATTATCATTTTATTAAATTAATTTATATGGGAGCCTACTTGCCCCAAAATCAGCAGGAAGTTTTTCGGAGTCTGGGTACGGGGGATTTAATGCAGTGGCAATACAAATGGCTCAGGAAAGTTAGACACCAACTGGAACATTTTAGTCTGGCTTCTACGATTTACCCTGCCTATGATTTGTGAACATGTCTGGGTGTTACATCAGTCTTGTTAGCATGTTTGACATTATTCTTTTGTTGCATCCCCTTCATTATCCTAGGCAGCTGTGCAGTCACATTGGAATGCATGTGAAAGTGTCATGCCTGATACACAATATTTAAGCAAAGTTTACTGTTCCATTCACAGAACCTCTAGAAGATGGTTGAAAATTCACCAGCAACAGTTTGAATATGTAGATGGACAGATTGTTAATTCTGCTCTCCCCAGTCTTGTATTGGGGGTGACAGAGTTTCATGCAGGAGCCGATGTTCTGCTTGTTAATCGGGACCCTGATGACCTCAGTCAGCGCTGGAAGTACCAGGAGGAAAACAGGTAAAACAAAATACATTGAGCAACTAACTCCAATCTAAATGATAATCTCTATATGAACTGCACTACACATGCAGATAAAATCACATCAATAAATGTAACTATGTAATCATTCTATTTGATTGCCTGGCTCTTGATGAGATAATAAGCAAATATAATATGCAGGCTGGCTGTTTCTGACTGTAACATCCTGATATATTTAAAATATCCATGAGCTCGCAAAACAAAACAAATAATCATCAAAGGTAAGTCTGACTAGTTTCTAAATTGAGAAAGCTAGTCAGATGACCAGCAAAACGTATTCAAGAAAAATACAGCAAGTCTAGTTACCTTGACTAATTTTGTTTTACAGATAAACCATAAAAGTTCCCCTGTAATGTGTTTATAAGTGTATGTCAGAAAGTAAACTGTCCATGTTTTTATTTTTAACAGAACATTCCATTTAGCTAGTAACACCGACCTTGTACTGGCCCTCTCATTGCCAAAAGTATACCCCGGGGTTAAGCAGAGAGATATAGGATTCATAGGATGCCCCATTATTCTTCAGGTAAGATATATTCTTCTTCAGTCTTATTTTACATATTATGATCTGCTTGTGGACCCCAGTAAAGTTATACACCTTTCATTACAGAAATATGAAGATCACATCAATGGAGCAGCCAATCAGAAATGGTCTTATGACGAAAATAAAAAAGTGCTGACAGCATTTTATAGTGACCAGATGGATAAAGATATTACAGCAGCCATTCACTCCTCAATCTGCACTTATACCATTACCAATACGGAGGAGATAAGTCAACCGGTAGGTGATCACAGATATCTAAACCCACCACAAAATCCTACGATCTGGGGGGTGAATTGGTTTCCATATTTCAGGCGTTAATATTTATAAGTACAGAAAATTCCTATTGATCTTGCCAGAACTGCAGCGTCCTTTTCAGTTCCTGGGAGATAAAAAGACAGCATAACCAATCTTATCTTTATGTAAACTACTAGTCCTATCCATCCACCATGTAATGGAGATGAACATAGGCAGACGTGTTTGATGTTCATCCTGTGTGACAACCAAGGTTATTTCTATTGATACAGCGGAGAAGTGAGTGTAGACACAAAAGGACAGGAAGTGAGTTATTCACAGGCTTACAAGGTGAAAATACAGACACTCCTCTGTGTACGGCGGAGTTACATTCCCATAAACCCATCGTTTGCTAGGATGCTGGAAGCCTCACTATAACAACCTATTATCCTATGTTGCCACCAGTGTCTTAGCTACCAATGACACTGTGTGGGCTGCACAGCATGATTGGTTACTGTGACATAGACTGGTTTGCTTGGCTGTTCACCGAACCTGCATTTCTGGCTGGGTCGCTGAACGACCAAGCGAGGCAAACCCAAGCCAGCTTGCTCATCTCTTGCTGGGATGTATCTTATACTTCCAAAGGTACTTCCAAGCTGGGTACATGCCCAGGGGTGTAGCTCCCAGCACATGCCCAGGTCCTGATCTCTATGTCAGAGCTCCTGTCAGCAGCTCTTTCTGTTCTGATCAATATAACAGGTTTTACACCCTTGGTGTTTGTTAAAATGTAAACAAAAAATGATAAGTTATAGTTACCCACATCAATCAGGAGCAGCTAATTACAGTGCATATATTTTTTTGCACAGGAGTTGTTGAAGTAAGGGTGAAAAGGGTTTTTGTTTTTATATATTTTATATATATATATGTTTTATATATTTTACAGCTGATTAAAGGATAACTATAGTTTTGTATAATGAACCTTTAAGTCAGCATTTCTCAACCTTTATTCAGTAACGGTACCCTGTAAACAGATGTATAATCTCGAGGCACCCCTGTCCAAAAAGTTAAAAAAAATGACATGTGGCCCCTCCAAAATCCATACCAGACCCTTACCCGAGATAGTGGTCTAATATGGAGGACCCCAGGCAAAAACATGAAAAACGCGGGGTTCCCCCTTCACATTTGGAGCCCCCTCATTCCACATCAGAAGCTCCTCTTCACATTAGAAGACCCCCTTCACATCAGAAAATTTAGAGGTTTCCCAAAAGTCTTATTTTTACCTGCTCATGCTCCTGCCAGATCCACACTGTGCAGGAGCATGAGGACACACAAGGACACTCATTTACTCCTGTGGATATGTCATCTATTGGTGTGCATAATAGATGGCCTCACCATACTAAACACTTTACATTTTTCTATGCATGTATAAAAGAACTGAGGAATAGTAATGAGCTTGTGCCTAAAATGGCTCAAAATTGTGACCACCACCTCCTCTCTCGGCCCAAAGGGTCAGGGAATGCCCCCCGCTGCAAGTACAGCCACTGATCGGGCCAGGGCATGAGGGCGGGGTGGTGGTAACAGTTCTAAGCTGGCTTAAGTGAACTCACGCCCTGGCAGCGGGGGGCATCCCTGGCTCATCACTACTGAGGAATGCTGGGCGAGTTTCCAACAGTGGCTCTGTAGATCCCCTTGGCCCACAAAGTGTGGATCTGGCAGGAACGTGGACAGGTGAGTTTAAGATTCTATAGAGATGCTGGAGTGGGGGTGACAGGGTGACAACACAGGAGCACACTTGGGAGATAGTTGTGACACCATAACAGGAAGTGCCTCAAATAGAATGTTCATCGCCAGATCATCAGATATTATTTACATGTAAGCTGCAGGAAAGATCAAATACAGCTTTTAAAACTACATTTAGATGTTAAAGCACATATGAGACTTTACAGATTGGGTGTAGATCTACTTTACCTCCATCTTCCACAATAAATGTATAACTTCTATGTATTCATGAATATTTCTTATAGGGCTATCTTCTAATCTCACCCAACGACAATGAGGAATGGGTGACTTGTGTGTCCTGTGCAAGAACCTTGAGACCAAATAGACAGATGAAGAGAATCCAAGAGGGTACATTGTTCTCTTGTGCCTCAGGACTAAAAGACTCCAAGCTAAGCCCTTTAGGACCCTTTAACTGTCTTCATGTCACAAAGGTAACACAGAGAATATTGGAGATGATTCATTCAAAATGTTATGTAATATCATCATCATCATCACTGGTAAAACAATTTCCCGTCTCCCCCTTGTATCCCATCTTATTAATTATACTTTTACTTTGTATGTATACAAAACAAATACTTTCCAGAGTCCAGTTTAATATTTGAAGCTTCTCCCAATACTTATTGGTACAGAAATGATAAGTAATATACACAGTTTAGACATTCTATAACTGAAATTAGCATGTTGCACAAAGACATTGAGGGGAATTCATCAAAACTGAAGCATACAGTATATGGAGCAGTTGCCTATGGCAACCAATCAGCTTCAATCATCAGTTTGTTCAATTAAGCTTTGAAAATTAAAGATAGAAGTTGATTGGTTGCCACAGGCAGTTGCTCCAGATTATGTTTGCTCCAGTTTTGCTAGATTCCGCTCAGTGAGTATTATGGGTTTAATTTAGGTTGACCTTTGTGTGGCCGATCCAGTTTTTATTGACATTTTTATGACTGACTTTGTGTGAGCACCAGAGAGAGAGACAGAAACAGGCACCTCAATATTTCTCAATGTTATCATTCATCAATTATTCTTAAGCTGGCCATACACTGGTGAAATTTCGGCCAAGTCCTGCTGACAATATTCGAGCAGTGTGTGGCCCAGTTGGCACCCCTCCGTTCAACAAAAGTCAATGAAGGAGCCAGTCTGAAAATTCTCGACGATCAGTGACTTCAGCTAATCAGTTGCAGCCATTGTTCAGGTATTCTGGCAGCAGCACACCCAATGCTTTCAGAATGCAATAGCCCAGCAGGAATGCGGGATTCCCCCATACACACTGTTTAGCTTAAATAAGGGAATTGATAAGATAATGTTTTCTTGTTCAGCCCACAGATTGGCAATGTATGGCCAGCTGCATTCTAAATCCATTTCCTTCATGGGAATCGAGCATGTGTTGTAGATTTTACTTACATACAGATGTTCCTCACTTACCGACTTACCTGTTTTGCGACCACTCGCACTTACGACGGAGCGCCGATCGACCTCCGACCTTGTGCGTCAGCGTCAGTGCGCCGTGTCGCCGGCGGAAGTGGTGTCCTCCGATCTTCATTGCGGGTCCTGGTAAGTATTTTCATTGCCCGATGTACAGTACACTGTTCGTTACTGTACATCGGCAACGCTATACAGTACTGTACTAATGCAGTACAGTACTGTTTAGAGTTCCTCACTTAACGACCAATCCGTTTAACGACCTGGTCGGAGGAACGGAACTCGGTCGTTAAGTGAGGAATACCTGTATACTAGAGCTCATTGGCTCAACCCTTCCCTACTCTATCCAGAACGAATATGAAAAGTTTTGGCTTTACATACTGTGGCATTGCATGGCAATACCACGGTGTTAGGTGGCCTCAAAGTGACCCAGGATTCTCAGCCAGAGGGGCTGAGTGGCTCCAGGAAGAAAGTACGTGTACCGGGAGAGAATTGCCTTTCCTTGTTTTCTGGATCCTAGTTGGGATCCTGGAGCCAGGATATTTCTTAGAGCTCTGGGTGGGACGAAATCTCCAGTACTGGGTCCGTGGGTTAGTAGTGACCAGCACTCTCTTCATGAGGGATGTGCACAGGTGCACAATCAGGTGCTGGTCACTACTAACCCACGGACCCAGGACTGGAGATTTCATCCCACCCAGAGCTCCAAGAAATCTCCTGGCTCCAGGATCCCAACTAGGATCCAGAAAACAAGGAAAGGACCGAAAAGGCAATTCTCTCCTGGTACACATACTTTTTTCCTGGAGCCAGTCAGCCCCTCTGGTTGAGAATCCTGGGTCACTTTGAGGCCACATAACACAGTGGTATTCCCTCGCAATGCCACAATACGCTTGAAATTTTATTTTACTAAGTCACTGGCTACTAACATCATTGCTGTGCAAATGCTTTCTCAATATGTTTACAATTTACAAGGTTATAATGTAACTGTATAATATAGATCTCCTGTATCTAACCTTTCCTGACTCTGCACAGACGGATCTATCCCGTTCTGAAGCGGAAAGTACTCTGGGCTACTTGACAGAGGTGTTGTCTGCTATGAGATCCCAGCAACAAACCCTCAACATTGCACAGGATATTTCATCTGGTAAATATCACAGAGCTATAAAAGTGAAGGCCTATAAAAATGGTGGTGGATTCAGAAATGGAATGGTCATCATTGCTGGAACATTTCCAGAGGTGAGTACTGCATTAAGATCCTTGTGAAGTAATGGCTTCCATCTTACATGGCATGTTTGTTGAATGACCAAAAAAAACAAAAACAAAAACTGGACAATATCATACTTCCTTCTTATATATATATATATATATATATTGTAATAATTTCCTTGTGCCCTTTATCCAGCTACTAGACGTCTGTACCAAAGAGCTGGACCTCCCCAGACCCGCCTGCAGAATGTACATGGCAGATGGTACCGTCAGACTGGAACTGTCGAGTTTGGTCACATGGGCTGTGAAAGACTTCTTTAAGCAAAGCAAGGAGCAAATTGGGGATGAGGAGGAGCAAACTGACAACCAGAATAGTGAGAATCTCTTATTAAACCCTAAAAACATAAAACTCTAACCCTAAAAACCCCATGAACTTCTTACTAAACCCTAAAACCCTAAAAACTCAGGCAAAATCTACATCTGAAGTTGGTAAGTTTACATGTGTACACATATATGGTAAATACTTGTAAACAAATACTTCCTCTGAGCCCTGATGCTGTTAAAGACATAGAAGCTAAGTGAAATCAATAGACACCATCATTGGCAATTGGCCGATGCTGATTGCTGGACAACCGGATAGTACATCAAGGTGCATGTGTTATATGGTTACATATTTATAGAGTAATTCCAGGGTGAACATCCACTTTTTATTATCTCCTTGTTAAACTGAGTGTCAGGATATAAGGCTGTCCTATCTTTTGCTGAGTATTAGGCTGTGAGGCTGCCGTATCTCCTGCCTGAGTGTCAGGCTCAGTATTGGGCAAAAAGGCTGTCCTATCTACTGGCTGAGTGTTAGGCTGAGTATTAGGCTATAAAGCTGTCCTACCTACTGCCTGAGTGTAAGGGTGTCATATCTACTGGCTGAGTGTTAGGCTGAGTATTAGGCTATAAAGCTGTCCTACCTACTGCCTGAGTGTAAGGGTGTCATATCTACTGCCTGAGTGTCAGGCTGAGTATAAGACTATGAGGCTGTCCTATCTCCTGCCTGAGTGTCAGGCTGAGTATAAGACTGTAAGGCTGTCCTATCTCTTGCCTGCTGTTCTACCTACTGCCTGTCAGGCTGAGTGTAAGGGTGTCATGTCTATATGGCTTCTTCTACATCAACCGTCCTTCCTATGGCAGGAACACACCCTCAAGCTGCAATCCAATTATTGCAAAGATACCTGTTATCCCATACCCCGTTGATGACGGTAACTGAGCCTATGGTACCTCCCCAGTACAAAGAATTCACAGACGTGTTTAGTGTGCAATTGGCTGAAGCTCTTCCGCCACATAGGCCACATGATTGTCCTATAGACCTTATATCAGGTAGCTCGATCCCCACCGGGAGGATCTACCCTCTTTCCCAGCCTGAACTGGTGCACCTGAAGGAGTACCTGGAGGAGAATCTCAGGAAGGGGTTTATCCGTCCATCCACCTCCCCAGCCAGTGCTGGGATGTTCTTCGTAAGGAACAAAGACGGTACCCTCCAGCCGATCATCGACTACCGAGCACTTAACAAGGTAACGGTAAAAAACCGCTACCCACTTCCTTTGATACCCGAGCTTATAGAGAGGTTACAACGGTCCCGGGTGTACACCAAGCTAGACCTAAGGGGTGCCTACAATTTAATCAGAGTCAGAGAGGGAGATGAGTGGAAGACCGCCTTTAAGACCCGTTATGGTCTATTTGAGTATAATGTCATGCCAATTGGGCTCTGCAACGCCCCAGCCACTTTCCAACATCTAATAAATGACATCTTTAGAGATTTACTGGACGTGTGTTGTGGTATATCTAGATGACATTTTAATATACTCTGAGGATCTGGAGATCCACCGCAGGCACGTCCGCTGGATTCTCTCCCGACTCCGGGCTCTTTCATAATATGTGAAATTATCCAAATGTGTCTTAAAACGAGATGTTATCAGCTTCTTGGGCTATGTTATATCCCCCGCTGGTATAGAGATGGATCGGGCAAAGACTGACTGCATCCACAAGTGGCCGGTTCCCCACTCAAGAAAGGCCCTACAACGCTTTCTGGGCTTTTCAAACTATTACAGGAAGTTCATTAAGAACTTCTCTGAGATTGTGAGACCTCTAACTTCCCTAACCAGCTCTAAAGTTCCCTTTAAGTGGTCATCAGATGCCCAGAGGGCATTTGACTTACTGAAGACCATATTCACATCTGCTCCAATCTTGAAGATTCCCAACCCAGACTACCATTACGTCCTGGAGGTGGATGCCTCTCATACGGCACTTGGGGGTGTACTCTCTCAGCGGATAGGGGTAGATACCCCTCTCCACCCCGTAGCGTTCTTCTCAAGGACTCTGACGCCTGCAGAGATCAACTATCCTATTGGGGAGAAAGAGCTGCTTGCCATTAAAGCAGCCATGGAGACACATGCTAGAAGAAATCAAATTCCCTTTCACGATATTTACAGACCATAGAAACCTCCAGTTCCTTAAAACCTGCAAAACTCTCTCAGCAAGACAAGTTAGATGGAGTCTGTTTTTTGACCGCTTCGATTTCATAATCTCCTATCGTCCAGGTTCCAAGAATGGCAAAGCAGACTCCCTCTCCAGAATGCTGGAAGAAGAGACAACCAGGGTCGAACCGATACCAGTGATTCCCTTGAACAAATTCCTATGTGCTACTATCTCGTTCAAGGAACAAATCAGGAACAGCATATCAGGTAACCCTGCATCATTACCCCCTGGGCTCACTCAAGACGCAGAAGGCCTATTCTACAGAGACTCAAGATTATATATTCCTCCATCTATGCAGCAGACTGTCTTACAGATGCTGCATGACGCGCCATTAGCAGGGCACCCCGGTCTGGCTAAAACCTTAGACTTGGTCAGAAGACAGTTCTGGTGGCCCGGCCTAAAAAAGACAGTTCTCAGTTACGTGAACTCCTGCCGCGTGTGCGCTACGTGTAAACACGAAAGAAGACCCCCCTACGGGTTGCTCACTTCTCTAGACATACCCAAGACTTCATAGTCAAACTACCCTCTTCCCAGGGCCATGATACCATCCTGGTAGCAGTAGATGTGCTCACCAAGATGGCACACTTCATTGCCCTCCGCGGACTTCCCTCCGCGAAGGAGACCGCCCAGTCCTTTATTGCACATGTCCTCAAACTGCACAGCCTGCCAACTCGCATTATATCGGACCGAGGCACCCAGTTTGTCTCCCGATTCTGGAGGGGACTCTGCACGTCACTACAGATAGATCATAGGTATTCCACGGCATACCATCCACAAACTAATGGTCAGACGGAAAGGGCCAACCAATGCCTCGAGCAATATCTAAGGTGTTACACCACCTACCTCCAAGATGATTGGTACAACCTACTCCCACTCGCTGAATTCGCCTTTAATAACTCCTGCAGCTCCTCTACTCGTCAGTCCCCTTTCTTCGCGAACTACGGATACCATCCTACGCAGTTGCCTACCGGTGTTCTCCCTACCAATGTGCCCTCGGCGGTAGACTACTTGTCGAGACTAGCTGAGACCAGGGAGCTCCTCGAGAGGAACCTTCACCTCGCGCAAGACAGGCAGAAGCGCTACTACGACCTGAGGAGAAGGGCCCCACCAGAGTACCGGGTTGGCGACAAAGTCTGGCTCTCCACGAGGAATCTGCGGATGAAGCTTCCATCAAAGAAACTCGGGAGGCAGTTCATCGGTCCCTTCGTCATAGAGAAGGTGATCAACCCCAATGCCGTGAAGCTTACACTCCCTCAGGGGCTCCTTATTCACCCCTCCTTCCATGTCTCCTTGATCAAGCCTTACGTACCCGATCCTTTCCCACAGAGGGCTCCTAAACCGGCTCCTCCCGTTGAAGTCCTGGGTGAGACCGAGTACAAGGTAGAGCGAATACTGAATTCCAGGAGACGTGGGCGAACCTTGCAGTATCTCATCAGATGGAAGGGTTACACTTCTCAGGAGGATTCATGGGAGAACGCTCGAGAGGTGCATGCACCTCTTCTGACGCGTGGTTTTCATTTGCGGTACCCCCGGAAGCCGGGGCCGCATAGGAACCCCGGGCCGCATAGGAACCCCGGAGGTGTTCCCTTGGAGGGGGGGTCCTGTAACGTCCTTGCCTGCCGCGAGCCGTCTGCGTTCCAACGTGGAACGCATCGGCCGCGTCACGCAGGGCGCTTCCCTCCCAGAGGGGGAGGCTCCCTGCTCTCCACCGTGGTTCGCGGAAGTGACGTCACGGCCGGTATCACTTCCGCGTTCGCGGACTATAAATAGCTTGTGTGAACGCTATGGAAGCGTTCCACTATTGAGCTTGATGCCCTACAGATGCCAGGAGCCTCAAGGAGCCTTCTTACTGCTGGATCTCTTGTTTCCTCAATCCTGCCTGCTGCCAACTGCAAGTATTGTACTGGAGGGGGATTGGCTCTTAGCTTGCTGGACTGTCTGTCACTATAACCCCTCTGGCAAAGGGTCCACTGCTAGACGCTCCAACACTGGCTTCCTCATTTATTCCTGTTACCATTTGTGCCAAATCATTACCCTGCATTAGACCTGTTATCTAGTTCCTTGTATCTACCTTTGTGTATCCTGACCCATGGGGTTATGAACTGAAATACCACTATATGGTCTATACCTACACTCCTCATTTGTGGCAGATGATGCAAGAACCCCTCACTCTCCGTTAAGATTGAGAGAGAAGCCTGGGGTTCGAGCCTGATTGCCATACCTAACCCTAGCCTCAATTCCGCAGCTGTGATCCTTTCTCCTGTCCTAGAACCCAGGCGCATTACAGTCTACTGCCTCAGTGTCAGGCTGAGTATAAGACTATACGGCTGTCCTACCTACTGCCTGAGTGTCAGGCTGAGTATAAGACTATAAGGCTGTCCTACTTACTGCCCGAGTGTCAGGCTGAGTGTAAGACTATGAGGCTGTCCTACCTATTGCCTGAGTGTCAGGCTGAGTATAAGACTATAAGGCTGTCCTACCTACTGCCTGAGTGTCAGGCTGAGTGTAAGACTATGAGGCTGTCCTATCTCTTGCCTGAGTGTCAGGCTGAGTGTAAGACTATGAGGCTGTCCTACCTATTGCCTGGGTGTCAGGCTGAGTGTAAGACTATAAGGCTGTCCTACCTACTGCCTGAGTGTCAGGCTGAGTGTAAGACTATGAGGCTGTCCTATCTCTTGCCTGAGTGACAGACTGACTATAAGACTGTAAGGCTGTCCTATCTCTTTCTGGAGCGTCATGCTGAGTATTAGACTGTAAGGCTGTCCTGTATTCTTCCTAAGCACAACCATATAACAGACCTTAATATAACAAGGGTGCAGTCAGGATTACATGAAAACATTTTTAAAAGGAGAGATTAGCAATAGCAGACTACATATTTTCCCTAATACAGGTTTTCTTAAATATACAGACATGCCAATGTTTTGATATACATTTATTTTTACGTATACAATGCCACTAATGTCCACCAGATGGCAGCACACAATAACAGGGCATACATAGATATACATATCTAGATAGAAGCAGTATAGAGCTATGGCAATGGCTCTGTTATATGATGTGGTATATTTACTATATAATCTTTATCTATAGATCTTGAAACTGTCAATACTACAGTAACACAGATGGATCCTGAAGAGGTGACAGTGGATGAGTATTTGCTGTCCTATATCCTGCGACATCCTATTGAAGTTTGGGTGTCCTGTGGAGAACCCTTCATATCACCGGATGGTAAGACTTATTATTTAAATATCACATCCCAGTTTCCCTAAAGTGAACCCATGCTTCACCCTTGCTGTGCAAAACAACAAGCTGCTTGCTGATATTTTCCTTCCTTTCCATTTGGTCACCGGCGAGGAAGGTAGGGTAAGCTCCAAGTTATGACTTAGACATTACACATGGCTGAGGACTTTCTTCTTGCCCCCCAATGTGGCAGCACTAGGTGAGTGAGTGGACAATTGCCAAGCATAGCGCTGTCACATGGGAGGTAGGGGAGTAAGTCACATGATCCTCCGTATCCGGAAGTACTGGGTGCTCCGTTCCCTCCCAGCCGCCAAACTGAGTGGTGGACTTCAAAGGGCCAGTGAGTGTCTGCTGCTTCTGGGACTGCTGTTAAAGAGAACATGTTACTTTCACCCTTCATGTGCAATATCCCGGGTTCACTTTAAGGTAATTGTCTTTGGTTAAAACATATTGATATCTTATTTTAATTTAAAATGTAGATTTGTAATCATTTTAGGCATTTAACAGATGAACAGATAGTAAAGTGGCTTCTCATACTGGAACAGCATATGTTGTTCCATCTTTTTTTCTTTTCGGATAGCAACTGTTTGTAAAGGCCATAGAACTTATTTGCAAAACATGAGAAATAGTGCCATTGTCTATAGCCAGCAGATGTTTACAGTATTTTAACATGTATCCACCATTCACACCTGAATGTTTTGTCAGGTGTTTTTGTGCATTTCTTTATGCACGACAACCCTCAACATCTTCTTTTGTGGCTGTTCACATCTCTATTCTTAAGCTGGCCATACACCTATAGGTTGTCTGCAGACTTTCTATGGTCAGATGGAAAAAGCGCAACAGATTCCTCCATCTACGCTAAACTGGGTGGATGGAGGAATCTCCCACTGGGACAAGCTTCAGTATCTTGCTAGTCGGCCCCGCTGGCTCTCAATACACCTGAACAATGCCTGCATCCAAATCACATTGTTCAGGTATTTTGACAGCCAGCGGGGCTAGAGGAAGGGGAGTGATCCTTTATTCATGAATGTGTTGAAGTCATAGGGCCAAAATGACATCCCAGCATTTGCCATTTGCAGATTTGGATGCCAGCAATGGCAGCCTCAAAGTTTAATTCAGGAAACATTGTTCAATATATTTTTCCTTATGAACGGGCCCTTATTGTCCCCACATACTATGTGGCACATACATGCTGCCAGAGGTGGAGCTGCAGGAAAGGACAAACACCCCAGCATATATGTACATCCTCCTTTAATGCTGCTGGTGGGAAGACATTTGTCACTGGTTGTTAGGACCGTCCTAGCAACCAATGATTGTAATGGAGGAGGACCGCTGATGTCATTGGTTGCTAGGACGCCAGGGGTCCCAGCAACCAACGACTGAAAAGGAAAGTGGGCCGGAAACTTACCGATCCCCAACCTGCACTGGGCTATGTGTTGCAAATGGATGCACCGGCCTTGGAAGCTTGTGTATCCACTATTAGCCTGCCATAAGTGAGTGCAGGTCCGTGTCCGGACCTTGGGCCAGACAGACGCAGACAAAGGGCCAGGTCTGAACAACAGTGTACAGTAAATTCAAATAATTCACCCAATAAATAGCTGCTATATCTATGTGTATGAATGGATTTTTGCAATCAAGCTTTTAAAAAGAGAGGCAGTTTAATGGAAATGTGAACAATAAAGCTTTTTCACTGTGTTTCCAATGTAGCTGTCCAGCGATCAGAAAAACAAGAGAAAAGACATTGGTTGCAGAAGAAGAAGATTGTGACTGGCCGCAGCTTGATGAGACACAAAATGAGACACTTACAAGGTAATTCTGTATTGGAAGGTAATGGTGGGCGACATGTGGTGTTTGCCGTTGACCAGGATGTTTACTTTTAGGCTGAATTCACACCAAACGCATTGGGACTGCAGTGACCATTTCTTCCAGAGCAGCTCCAATGCAAGACAAGCCAATTTGCCTTTTCATGGAGGTGTTAACGCATTGCATTGCGCTGTGCCTAGAGAACTTAAAGTGACATTAAACCCTCAGATTTTTTAACATAAAACAATACTGTAATGTGTGCCTTACTGTAATCCATGGTTGTTTCCCTTCTCTTAGCTGCTCTTCCTATTAAAATCTGTTTCTGTTCTCATGCTTGGAGAGAACTTCCCTTTTCAGCAGACTGCCTTGTCTCACACGGTGTCTGTGTATAGGCTGTAACCTGAGCCAGCACTACAGGAAGAGGCCCTGAGCTGAAAAGGGAAGTTCTCTCCAAGCATGAGAACAGAAACAGATTTTAATAGGAAGAGCAGCTAAGAGAAGGGAAACAACCATGGATTACAGTAAGGCACACATTACAGTATTGTTTTATGTTAAAAAATCCGAGGGTTTAATGTCACTTTAATGAAATATCACTCGTGACATTTCAATAAAGTTCTAACAAACAAGGTTAAACAGGGCATCTGTCGGCACTGTGACTGCTAACGTTTCCGCATCGTTTTTACGCACGTCTTTCCCTTGCATGGTCTCTGCGTGTTTTTGCGCTTTTTACACATTTTAGGTTCACACCTGGGCATTTTCACACTTAAAGCTAAGTGCGCCAAAGCCCTCAACACTAGAAATCCCATTCATTTCTCTGGCCCCTGTTCACACCTAAAAGTTTTGCCGCAAGCTGTGAAACTCTGAACACTGAAAAAGGTACTTGAGCTTCTTTCGGGCAGATTACAGCACGTTTGGCCGCATGGTCTTCAATGGAAGCGCATTAAAAGGCACGACACAAGCGTTTTGCACATTTCTGTGCACGTTTCCGTAGTCACAGCAATGCATTTTGATCTGCTCAATAAAGTCTTTGTCTATGCGCGTCTAACCCGTTTAAAAATGTGCAAAACGCGCACAATTGCGCAAGCCATGCGAGGTAGAGACCGCGTAAAAAAGGCGCGTTTTACAAGTGGAAACACTGACGCCTAGGTGTGAATGGAGACCTACACTGGTTAGACGCCCGTAGAAGTTAAACTAACCCGAACCACAATCCTAGCTAGCCCCTAGACCGTTCATAGAATGTCCCTCACCTCCAATACATAGAGCGTCCTCACCTCCAATACACCGTATAGGATGCCATGACTCGCTGGACCTTAGACCGCTGAAGTGGAGAGGCTCAAGGGACCAGTCTAACAGCAAGCCGGGATCGTAGTCCGGGTGAGCATAATTCTTTTATTTTAGACAAAATGAGCACTTAACCCTTGCAGTGCAGGGGTAGCCCCACTGCTAAGGTTAAGATTTTATTTGCCTGGAGTTCTTTAAAAAATGTAAAATGGAGCATAGAAATGTTTGAACTATCTAGCTAATAATGGTATTACCTCTCACGCAGCAGTGATACATCTACAATGTATATGCTGGTTGTACAGGACCAATTTTAATGATACCTCTTCTGAGAGAAATATATGTGCCATTGCTGGCCTCTTCTCCTGAAAATGGTAGTTGCCAGGCTAATAACATTTGAGCCGGCATTTTGAATGAAACAGATCTCTATTCTTATTTTTAGAGGCTAATACAGCAAACAAAAAGTGTGATGTGTTGTGTGACCACAGGGTGTCACTGTTTCACTGTTTGCTATTATATTTGTGCTTCTTTGTGCCACAACTTTCTAAGGAAGTTCAGGTGTAACTTTTAAGAGATCATTTAACTTTAAAGTGTATGAAAACCCAAAATCCATTTTTAAGTATGTTTGGCATAATGCTTCTCTATATACAGTTGTCTTTAGCAATTTATTTTTGTGACTCTCACAAACTTTCTTACATGGAGATCCGGCCAGTAACAGCACAATCTGTTGCAGGCTGAGAAGACAAGTCCACTATCCCGAGATTAGTTGACAGTCTGCTGTGCGCACTCTTTCAGTTGGTTGTTGGGCTGCTTATCTGATAGACCTTATAGTCTAGTAGTAGGGCAAAGCATTCTCAGCCTGCAACAAGTCAGTAATCAAGGAGACAGGTGCCCCGGCCACTGGAGCTCCACTTTTCATTTCACAATCTGGTCAACATACTGAGACCTGCAGACCCCTAAAGTGATGTCACAGAACACAGCGTCACCACTGGGTTTGCCACCTGTCCCAGATTCACCTGGACACTCTGGGTTTTGAGTCCTGTATGTGCTGTTTCCGGGTTTCAAGCCAGCTGAAACCCAGACACAGCATCAAAAGCCGGACTGTCCAGGTGAATCCGGGACAGGTGGCAACCCTAGTCACCTCTGACATATTTCATTGGAACCATCTACCTTTCTTATGGACCCTATAAGAAAGAGCTGAAGTGGTGTTGCCGCCGGCTGGGTCACAGATATCCTTAATGGCTCATTCACACAGGAATCGGCTGGCACATACAGCTCCTTGCTGCGTGCATGGCCATATCGGGCAGCTCCCGAGAAGGACAGGTGCTGCGTATGATTAGTATGCAGCCCCTGTCCTTCTCTATGGGACTACGCGGCCATACGCCCCCCTATGCTCACCTCAAGTGCAGGTCTGTACGGGTGCGTGTGTCCCGGCTCGGACGCAGACAGGATCCATACTTACGAGTCAGCTTACGAGTACACTCACCCACACAGACATGCAGGGCCGGTGAGCGTAGGGCGGCGTACGTCCGCGTAGTCCCATAGAGAAGGACAGGGGCTGCGTACTAATCACACGCAGCACCTGTCCTTCCCGGAGCTGCCCTATACAGCCGTGCACGCAGCTGTACGGATGAGCCCTAATTATCAAACTACAATCTGACAGATCTGTGGAAGTGGCTACATTGTTCAAACCTAAGAAATACCGTTGCTTATTAATTAAACTCACTAAGGCACTCTAATACCTTTTGGAGATACAGTTACCTCCTTTATAAGTAGGAGGACTATCTGCTGTGATTGTATCTCTACCTGCTATGGAACCATTGCATCTTCTGAGCACTGCTTGGAAACTTTGTTTTTCTGTGAATTAAACACTTACATAGTGTTTTTTTCCCCCACCCATTGTGTTAGAGGCCAGCATTGCAGGTGAGTGCTTAAGTGCTTAGCATTAGAGTGAGGAAGGAAAAATAACCCATTTGGGTTTTTACAGCTACCAGGGGCTCCATTAGGGGTTTGGTTACAGAGTTTTCCATTCACTTATAAACAATTCACAGACCCATTTGCCCTTCGAATCAATGTGAACAAATAAAGGGAAAAACTAACATTATTTTATATTTTCTTTTTTTAACTAAGAATGTTCTTAGTATAATTTCTTTTCAGGTTGAATGCAATGTAATACCGCATTATGGCACGGTATGTATTTCCTATGCTCTTAGATCCAACTAGTGTCCATAATGCAATGTTACATTACCCCATTCAGATAAACTCCTATCAGCTTTTTATTGCTCAGAAAGTAGAAGAAAGGAGTGGGGCGCTGTATCTCTTAATGTAGTAGATGTTCTCAGTCAGGTCTTAAGCAGTGTTGAGGGAATGATTCTCTTTAGGCAGCTCTCCCTGTAATGGTTGCAAAGGGTTGGCTCTTTGCTCGAGAAGGGACTGGGTGTGCAGCAAGGAAGGTGCCAAAATCGGAAAATATACAGTTAAAATTCAACTTTATTCAGACTCTTATGTCAAAAAAAGCCAGTGGGGGGAGTTTATCAAAAATGGAGCAGACAGAATCTGGAGCAGCTGTGCAGGTCAACCAATCAGGTTCTCTCTTCAGTTTGTTCAGTTAAGATTTGAAAGTGAAAGAGAGATGATTGGTTGCCATGCATAGCTGCTCCAGATTTTGTCTGCTCCAGTTTTGATAAATTCCCTTCAATGTGTTTTGGATAACCAGTATAGGGAGACATCATCAGACTAATTAGCCGTCAAGATCCCTCTAATTTGATCATTCCGGTACATGCTTTGTTCAACATACAAAGCCCTGATGAAGTGTTGCCCTTTGAACCCCAGAAACGCATTGGTTTTCCTGACATAAGAGTCTAAATAAAATGAAATCTGAACTTTATACATTCTGCTTTTTGCACACCCAACTTTTCAGTGCTGTGTGTCCCTGTTGCAGATTTTCTCTCACTTGTTCTGTAGCGCAACTGTTGTCATCGTGTCGGAAAGTGAGGGGAATTCCCCCTAACAGAGCCCTTGATAGCAATACAATCCTGCTGGATAGGACATATCCTTTAATGAATGTTCTCTTTTTATGTTGTCTGCAGCTCGACGGGTTAATTCTCTTGCTCCTTCCACCCTGGTGCCCACCGCCGATCCCGTCCAGCCTGTGTCTGTAGAAGGTGGCTGGACTGAAGTCACTGATGAGGAGCTGAGGCTGAAGGAAGAACTTGAGAATGTGGAGGTGACATTGAATTATTTCCATTGTTCTTGTATCTAAAATGGATACATACCAATAGTATATTATAATTGTAGAAAGCAGCAATTTTTTTCTTGTGGAAAAGGTTATTGTATTGTATAGTGCTCATCCATCTTACAGCTTAGAGAATATTTGTTCCATGGTGTTGACAGACTTGATCCTCAACATGTTCTAGCTGTGTGACAAATGAATGAAGAGGATAAGGTATAGTATATACATACATAAAAGTGCAACAACAATGTCTACTTCACTCCAACCTTGTGTAGAAAATACCTTTAAATCATTGCTTCTGTGGAGGCTTTTTTCACGGACACTCTTGGTGCTTGCAGATGGGTCTACCACTTACACGTCAATCCACTGTGACTTGCAGGCACCCACAGAACTACATCTGCTCATAACCACTGGTGTCCTTTGTTAGCAGTGGAGGCGTGTACAGGGGAGTGAATGACAGGGCTGAACGTGAACCCTCAAGCTTGCTTTCCAATTGCTCAAGTGCAGTCAGACAATGGGAAGAATTAGGGAAATGAGCAGAAGGTGTTGTGCCAACTCTCATGCCCGCCAATATGGGGGGTTGGTTGAATCAAATTCTTACTAGTATGTTCAAAGAAGTGTAGGCACCTTGACAAGAGACTGTGTCTGGCCCTTATTCCCCTAGGAGTCATCCCTACCCATTTTCATCAACCCACCCATCCCTTCTGTGTGGTACCAGCAATGTTTCCCTCTATATAGGATGGCCTGTTACAGTTTAGTGCTTGTGATATTATAAGTGAGCCATGGCTGGATTTCCATCACTAGAACCTGTAAGCATGGAATGTTTGGTACCTCAATGAATATCCCTGTTCTAATATATCCTCTCTTACACAGAACATTTTCTTATTTTTTTTGTCATGCCTTAGTTTAGAATATTGCTACCATGTGTAAACCTGCTGCACCTATAGACATATGCCTACTGTGCCTAATTCTATCCAGTCCAGAAGTGGGCGATAATGTTTTGCATTTTACAATACATGGAGATCCTATGAAGTGTAGTGTCTTGCTTTTTTTTTTTTTTACAAGATCAGAGTTGTCCTTTAGGTGATAATCTCCACATTAATTAGTAACTCTTATTTTAAATACAGGATTTCTGCAAAATCGTCCAATAAAATGATATGACAGTTTCTTTTATGGAAGGTTCAAGCTTTTGCATAATTTCTCCTGTTCAATAAATACATCAGTTTGAAAAATATTTTTGGTCAAGAAAGCAACGTAAGGCCTTCTCAGAGGGTACTCACATGTTTTATTCCATCACGTATACGAAACAGTGGCAGGGACGTGCGGTCAGGGGAGGCAGGTGGGGCAGAGCCTCACCTAGTATTATGGAGGAAAAAGCTGTCAGCTTCAAGCCTGAAGATGACAGCCTTTTCTCCATTCAGATGGGCTTGTAACGGGTTACACAGCAGTGAAAGCCTCCCCGCTGTGTAACCTGTCATGGACTGATCGCTGCCTGTTAATTACAGGCAGCGCTGCATCCGGCTTTTGACAGCTAGTTAGGTTACACAGCAGCCGGCTTGAGTAACCTAACTGCTTGAGTAACCTAACTAGTGAGGCAAGAGCTGCAACAGACTCTACTCTCTATTAGAGGCTTGAGCTCTGTGGATGGTTTGGACCAATGGCAAAGCGCCATTGGTCCAAGCTGTCCAATCAAAAAAAAAGAAAAACACTGATGGCATCGATCTTGATGCCTCAGCATTGACGAGCAAGTGAGGGACTAGCTTGGTGACCGGGTTGAGGGGACAGGGCTTTGTCATAATGGGGATGGGGCTTCGGCAGGATAGGGATAGGATAGGAGAGAATACCTCACCCAGAACTGAAGGTACAGCACGTCACTGGACTGTGGGTAGAGCCATTCAAATCAATGCATTATGCCTCATCAGCCAGATACACATCCAGAACTGCTGATGTATAGTGCAAATATAGGTTAATATTATAGAGCCATTCATCTGAAACTGCATACAGCTGCTTCAGGCTTTTTGGCCATCATCAGTACAGTGTATGGGAATCTTGGCTTCTATGGAGTAGGGCTTGGGACCCAATAAGACATTATACCCAAAGTTGGTGAGACAGGACCAAAGCAATCAAAAAGCCCTCCAATCTAATCATTGCGTAGCATTTTTAAATCTTGTGAATTTGGTGGAGCCATTGCTTTATGCAACAAATATATTAGGCTATATTTGCACTATACACCAGCAGTTTTGGATGTGGGTTATAACGATTTGCATGACTCTTTCAGCTGTCCTGAGAATTATTTTTGGGATATGTGATGAAATGAAATGTTAATACCTTCTATTCTAAGAAGGCATTAATGTGCTATGCACTGATTCGGTTGTAGAGCTTTTTGATTGCTTTAGTCCCTGCTCGCCTAAACCTGTATGGGTATACTGTCTTCCTAAAGAGAATAAAATAATAATCTTCTTGAACCTATTATGAAAGTAAAAAGTTTTCAGTGTAAGTCATAACAGAAGTCAGAATGTGAGGACATTTCTCACACGATTTTATTTCATTCCTTCTGATATATTACCTTTTTGCTCTCTGGTTTTTGTCCTTCTGAATATCTGAGCCAAGCTGAAGACTCTCCTCTTAGAGAGATTTATTATCACTGATGTTATCCTCCGGCAGTTTTACTTTTGAAGTTACTCTTAATAATAAAAAAAAAGCTTAAAGCCTACACAGCCTGTGTGCTTCTCTCCTAGATGCAGCTCTCTGGTAGTCAGGCTCCCCGTGTGAAGGTGCATCCTGCAGTAGCAAACAGTGAAACATCCCTCTACACCTTTCCCACCATGAAACGAGTCCTGGCTTACAGGAATGGGGGCAATTCAGAGCAAGCTGTATATGCTTGGGGCAAATCTATGGAAGAGGTAAGATTTGCACATCAGAATAAACCCAACACTGTTGACTTCTGTGTAACTTACTTTTAACATTGCTTCTTCCACAGGGCGGGTTCTAAGTATTGAATGCGTTAGGTTAGCTGCACACAAATGTTCTCACCAGACACGTGGCTGATTCCATCTTAAAGACTATTGTATCAATAGTTTTTCCATAAATAATAAAGCAACCCTGTTAGGAGATGCACACTATCATTGCAGACTTCCTTTTGAAAATGCTAGCTCCCCCAGTATTATACTGGCCAACTAGTTGTGTTCTTTGAGTCACAGACCTGGAACAAGCATAGAGATTAGAAAAGCCAGAGAAAAGTCCTTAACTTCAAACTGTTTGTTAGTCAATAACTCAGAAAATTTTGAAGCCAATGGATTAGCTTGTTAGCTAAGCAACTAGTATTTTCAGAAGAGTTCTGCAGTGACATCCTAATGGTTTCTTTGTGTAGGTGGAAAATTCTGGAACTCATAAACTATATTAGATCTTTAGTGGAAGAGAATGCCTATGGTGAAGAGAACAATCCCCCCAGTTAGGCATCTCTAATGTACAAAAGTGCCACAGTGGGGCACTTAAGATGGAATACAAGAAGTTCAAAAGAACACAAGAGTGCCAGGCCATTTGGTAGAAGTCCAAGACATGTGTTTATTTTCTCATTTGATATAAGCCAAAGGAACAATGGGACATTAAAGTACCCCCTTAATCAGAGCATTAATGGGATTAAATACCTTATTGGAACAATATTACATCATGAATATAGATCCTAGAGACAGGTTTCAGCAACTGGTTGTTGAAGCAATCAGTCCAATTTTCCCCTCTTCTAGCAACCGTTAAAGCCCTGATGAAGGGAACACTTTAAAGTTCCATATTGCGTTGGCTTATATCATGTGGGAAAATAAACATATGCCTTGGACTTCTACCAAATTGTCTGGCACTCTTTTGTTTTTTTAGTACTTCTTGTATTCAGTCTGAAGTGAGTCACCGTGGCACTTTTATACATTAGAGATGCCAACTTGGCACATCATATGTTCATTTGTCAGGGACCACAGCACCTCCAGGTGCCACTGTGGGGCTGGAACCTGATCCTACAGTTCCAGTGCTCACCTGCAAGTGTCTCCCAGCAATTAGTCACCACCTGGTGCTGATCTGGGAGGGTATTTGGCCTCAATATTATGTCACGATACCGTGCACGTGTGTCCCCACACCGCATGCAGGTACCTGTACAAGAGACCCAATTATGTGACCACACCAAACAATGCTTATGGTGTTTTGGTGTAGCTAATAAATTTTATCTGTAAAACAAAATAAGGCAAGGCAACTGTCCAGTTTCCCAGCTGGTGGGCAATATTCTGCAGACTTTAGGCCACTGAGGCCATGAACCCATTGATGCAGATGAGTGATTATTTCATGCAATCATGTTGTTGGCGTGTTGTCGAAGCAATAGGATTGCCAGTGTGACATGGCTAATATTATAGCTTTAGGTGACATTTAGGTATAGGCCTGCTTTAAAAGCAAAATGTAAATGCATTGTCATAAATAGATTATTATACTTGAAATAAAATTATGTTGTGTCCCTGAGGAACAAATCAAAAAATTTGCTTTTAATGCGCCCTTCCCCAGCAACTCATACTCACCTTTGTTTTGCTCCATTCAGTCAAGGAGTGATGAAAGAAGCCAGAACGTCTCGGTATAGAAGAGAATGTGACTCACTTCCCTTCCTCTTATGGGACAGTGTTGGTGCATGGTGATTGGCCTAGCACTGTCACATATGGGTTGGGGAGAGAGTTCTTAGTAATGTGTAAGCTCCAAATAGAGTGACTTGGATATTATCTAGGGATTGCTTCCTTTTCTCACCCCCAGAAGTTGACTGGAGAAGCAGGGGAGGGAAGGAAAGATGAATATGTGTTGCTGGGGACAGGGGCAATAACTGGTAAGCCACATGGTTGCTTGAGGGCTTGTTCATACTAGTTGTGGTGACTGGTGTTTTTCTGCACTGGACCAATGCCAGTCACCAGAATTGTTATTTTTAATGTACCCAGCACAAGGTGGTGTGATGTGCTTTGTGGAAAAATACAGACATGCTGCATTTTTTTGCGGTGCACTGGATGGCGCTCTGTGCTGCTGTGTGGAGACCTTTCAAGGGACTGTATACTTTGTATACTGCCAATGCACACTGCTGCCATCCAGCGGACACCAGATGCATGCTGAAAATAATTTTTTTTGCCTGGGGATGGTGTGTACCAACCCTTAGACATTATTTATGGAATAGTAGTAAAGTGCCAGCCCCAGAACAAGTGAAGTATTTTGAAGCTCAACTAAATGACAAGGATGAAATGCTGGTGATTAATGCAGTGTTCTTCTTTGTTGCACTCTAGTTACTGGAGGACTGCACTTTAAAGCTGAGTATGCAGCATCTGCCAGCAGCAGTACTGTATAATTGGAATGGTGAATTGGTGACATCTTTGGATGACATCACGAAGGACATGATCCTGTGTGTATCCGCTGGAGAGCCATTTCTAACCAAAAAAAGTAAGACATTCTGGTTGGCTTCCAGATCACTCTTGCTGTGAACTGGTCTAATATCAATTTGATTCCATGAGAAGTTCATTCAGTTGTACCGGATACTATGGGGTATAACTGAATGACCAGGAGCCAGGTAGCCAATGCTGCTTAAAAATTACAGTTGACACCAATTGAGGTTTCCTATAGTTGTTGTCAATAGAGCTGGCTCCTGAAAAAAATCCTGCTGGCGTCTGGAATGGACAGGTTGGCTCCTGAATTCCATATTAATTTGTCCACCCCTGACTACCAACAGAGTAACACAATATGCCTGTTCATTGTATAAGGCTAGCTGTACCCACAATACATTGACCTACCGCCAATACATTGACCTAAACAAGATAGAGGTGGAAGCTTGCTTAGTCACAGGAAGGTCCCATACATATGATTATGCATTTAGTACACTAAAACACCATACATGTAGAAATCATATGGGACTGATGCATATTTATGACCTGCAGCAGCACATTGAGAATTAAAAAAATAGGACATGCAGTTTTTTTTTGGATGCAGTAACGATTTTTTTTACCTGTAGATATGAATAAAAAAATGAGCTACATATTTTTTACGTAAAAAGTGGTATGCACACATGTAAATGTGTGCTCCAACATGCATCCTATATGTGTGTTATAAGAGAACACATGTATCACCTTAGTCCATCCTTATTCCACAGATAATCCCACCCAGCAGTATCCTCTGTCAATTCCTTTACACTAAAGGGTCTATTTATACACAATTTGAAGAGCCATTGGACCTGCAAATCTTTATTTTGTGCAAATAGAGGCAAAAATGAATGTCCTTAGTATACTTTCTTGTCAGGTCAATTTTAATGAAATGTAATACTGCATTATAGCCACTAGATTGCGCTCTGAAGCATCGGAAATAAACATTTCTTTGCTGTGCTCCCCGGCTCTATCTAGTGCCCATAATGAAGCATTTTCCTCTTTATAATTCGACCAGGAAAGAATATATGCAAAGAATGATAATTTTTGCCACATTGCATGTATTCCTGGTGCGGCGATTGCACTGGGGGCGTGGCTGTGGTGACATTGACTTCAATGCCCTCTCCCGCCCCTGAATGCAGGTGTGTTTTCGTCGGTAGATCTCATTAAGCTCGTCATTTGAAAAGTAGACGAAAAACTGTGGGCGCCCCTGATCTAGGACAACATAGCTGATTTGGAGAAATTCTCCAATTAAGCTCACTTTCCAGTTCAGCGATGTTGTCCTAGACTGTTCACTTCTCCAAACTCTTCACCCTTTTCTGAATAGCCCTGTAAATCTCTCTGTGTGAAATATTTGGTAAAATTAATTTGCAGTATGGTTTGTCTTTCAGGCAGCAGAGACAAAATAAATGTCCGAGCCAACTATGCAAGAATCAGGAAGCAGTATGGTCCTGGGGCTACAGAAGTCATCATTTCAACACCCAAAGTCTTCATACCAGTACCAAACAACATTTAATAAGGTGAAAGAAACGTATATAACAGTAGCTTAGAACATCAAGAAAAATGTGTTCTCTTCCATCAGAAGACTTTGATGGCAATAAAGTAGGGAGGCTTCTAGACCTTCTTTAGTGGATGAAGTTACACATCAGGCCCTGTTTATCTTAGGGGGTCTGGTAACGCATACAGTATGCATTGTCAACTAGGAGACCTTCTACAGAGAGGTGTGCGCCTTTCCAAATCATGTCCAATCAATTTAATTTATCACAGGTGGACTCCGATCAAGGTGTAGAAACATCTCAGCAACGATCAAGAGAAATGGGAGGCACCTGAGCTCATTTTTAAGGCCTTGTTCACACCAAGCGCGGAGCAGGTGCAGAGCAGATCAGTTGCAGACCGGATCAAAACTGCGTCCAATGTATTCCAATGGTATTTTTTGCTCCAGTTCACATTGCAGCGTGCAGGTCCAGAGCAGGTGAAAAAACTGCAGCAGGCCCTATTTTACCTGCTCTAGATCTGCAAACGCATCAAAAACGCATCAGAAACGCATGCAAATGCCTGGAACGCACTGAAAGCCCATTTTAAACTTTTTTTTTTAAAACGCGTCAAAAACACATCTAAAAGAAACCTGACCAGATCTGCTCTGCATTTGGTGTGAACAAGGCCTAAGTGTTGTTGCAAAGGGTCTAAATACTTATGCCAATGGGATATTTCAGTTTTTCCTTTTGAATAAATCCACAGATATTTCTAAACTTATGTTTTCACTTTGTAATTATGGGGTACTGAGTGTAGATTCATGAGGGGAAAAAAAATAAACAACTGTAGTATCAGTCTGCAACATAACAAAATTGTAAAAAAAATGAATGGGGTCTGAATACTCTTTGAATGCACTGTATAAACTAGGGATGCAGCGATACTTTTCGAGTACCAATACCAATGCCGATACTACCAGGGTTGCAGTGGTTGCAGCTGGGACCTGGCTCTGGTGCTCCACCACTGTCCTGAAATCATTAGTCTGTATTGTTTAAGAAAAACTGTCACATGACGATAAACAATAATGTATCAGTACTCGTACTTGTAAAACTGGTATCTGTGCATCCCTTTATTTATATTTATTTTAAAAAATCATACATTAAAACAGAGATGTACAAATCCCAGCAGCTCCGTGTGCTCCTTACAAATGACGGCTGCCTCCTAACTTTTGAATTTTTATCTAATCTAGTCTTGGAGCTCAAAGTATCGGTACTTGTACCAAGTACTGTACTTGGTATCGGTGCATCCCTAGTATAAACGTATATAGATAATAAACTCCCTGTAATCCGGCATCCATGGGGATTGGTAGATTTCTGTTAAATGTAGTTTATGGTTGCTGAGAGTCACTTTTAAAAATAGGTCTAACTAAAGCCATTGCCCATTCTATAGCATAACATAACATAAACTCTGTATTGACTTTATATTAATATTGAAATGCAGTAATCAGAAGCAAATTAAGACAAATAGACACACAATCATTTCCAGGATAATACATGCCGCAGATCAGCAAAACAGTGAGCACACAGGGGATTTTTTAAATCTGGTTAGATGAAAGTTCTGGTTAGTCGAATACCAGATAACTGAGATAACAACTTTGTTCATCTAATTTTCCAAAGCAATAACTGCCTGGCGGAGCAGAACAGGTGGTATGTATATTCAAAAGAAAACACACACACCGTAAAATTCCATCAAGAACCGCAGTAAATCCACTCAGCCATACAGGAGAATATTGGCGGATCAATTCTGTTTAAACCTTGCCCCGGTGCCATCCTACGAGAGAGGCCACCGGCGTTATATATGACTAGATAACGCGGCTCTGCGGTCAGCATAAGTAAAGACCTTCTTTTTATAACACTTATAAAATTATATCACACATCCATGAGAACAAAATTAGATTTCATAGCCTGTGCCAGACCTTGAATATAAATTCTGGCTGGAAGCAATGAATTTAAAAATGTTATTACTTAATACATGCACTTTATTAGTTTCCTCAACTAATGTCGCTGACTCTTGACTGAGGCTCATCTCTCTTCTGTACAGGGTGAAATTCCTTCTCTGTCTGTCGGATGAGCTCGAGTGTGGATGAGAGAGGAAATGAATTGACATTTCAGAAGCGTTTGACCTAAATGGATTATACAGTTCCGTGCAATTATGACTGAGAATTCAATAGGATTTTTATTCAGGTTAAACCCAGTGTAAGAATAACAGGCAGGTTAGCGGAGGTAGGCAGCCCCCACGTGTGAAGGGGGATAATATACAATTATTACAGCAGCTTCTCCAGCAGACGGCTTATTGTCTGGGTGAAACCAATCAATAATATATACTACAGCGGTTCACAGAGCAGGGGTACAGAGTAACCCGCAGCAAGAAATCACAAGCCACTTTTTATTTCTCCTGAGCTTTGTGCTGATGACTTCTGATTGGTAGAGCGAAATGGTTTGCAAATCTCTGGCTAGAAAGATGGAGCCACACGCCTCTTCCATCAACTTTATTGTACTAGCACACTATTAAACACTCCTCCAAGCTGCCTCACTGATGCATTTCACCCCCTGTCTAGCTCACCATAGACTGTTGGCGAGGGGAAATTTCCCCTTTTACACTGGGAAATCAAGTGCTTTTTCTCTGAAAAAGAAAAAAATGCCAGTGTATGGCCAAGCTTTAGTCATAGAGCCTCTACATCTAAGCCCCAGCAGGGGTCAAAATACATCAGTAGAGGCAGCCAGGTGGAGCGCTCTATACGAATTCTATATAGTTCTAAGTTGAATACCGAGCCGTGATTAGGTTCCTCCATCTTCAAGGCAAATCTGCCCAAATAATCCATGAAGAGATATCAGCTGTGTATGGAAAGGATTGTCCATCATATGAGACTGTGGCTATGAATCTCTGCCACATCCACCTTACTCACCTGACCTGGCACCTTCGGACTTCTTCCTGTTTCCAAATCTGTAGAGGTTTCCTCAATGATGATGCAGTCATTACTGAAGTTGATAGCTGGTTTTCCTCCAAATCTAGCACATCCCTAGCACATCTGGATCTTGGTGAGGGTAAGAACTTATTGGCCTCCCCTTGTATGGCTGTTGGTCCACCAAAGTTGCTTTTAACTCCCTAAAAGAGCTATTCAGTTCTGTATTTCTAGTTTGTAGAGGGGAGCAAGGGACCCCAAAGGAGTGTGCACCTGCTGGCTGGAGAGATGCTCAGCTATGGGCTTTGAAGTGGAACCATGCTAGTTTGTAAGGACTGTTTTGCAAATCCGTTGCATTTACCTGATTGACTTATTTTAGGATGCTGTAGAGTACTGCATTCAGTTGTTGAATTATGACCTTACCAGCTCACGTCATTAAATTGGTTTGAGTTTCCTTCTCCTTTTTGCCAAAGGCCAAGTACACTCAGGCAAAGCAGTTACAAAGCATTTAGAAAGTGCAAAATCTTTCTTTAGGTCAACCCCTTAAACCCTGTCTGCGATAGTTTAAAACAGATTTAAATGCAAATGTTGGCTTTAGCTTTAAGCAAGCATTTAAGTATCTTCAGTGGGCATTTAGAAAGCTTTAGCAGTAGGTAGCTAACCAAAAACAGAAGTTGTATGTGTCTTCATTTTTCCCCTCACCCACACTATATAATAGATTGTTGTACACAAAAAAGAAGCAGAATAAAATATAAAAAAAGGTAATGTGATCTATGCCATTGCATACAGTTGGTGACATGTCTTCCACTTCTCCTCTTGTAAGCGCCAAGAAGATCTGCAGTACTCTGTGTAGTGCTTGTTATGGCCTCCCTCTTTTTTTAAAACCAAGCAGAAACCTCAGTTATAATTAAAACAAGAACAGACAGTACAATAAGAGCAGCCAGAGATGCCTCTCCCTGAAGCCTAGTGTTAGAAACATGTGCCACCTGAGACCACCATCCCACCAATGCCAACCAAGAGATGTTTATTATAATGCTGCAGATAATGTTTATCACTCCTCTTTGCATTGGTAATGAATATATAATCTTCCATGTTGGCAAATTAAAATGTTGAAGGAATCCATTAATGGGCTGCCTGGTACACCAAAACACACCAAAAAACTTTTTGTAGTGTGTTACCATGGGTTGTGTGCTTCAGTGTAGGTGCATTGAGGTCCCTTTAAGAATGAATGGTACCACAGCACACCAACATGCATACTGGGCATTTTCATGCACTGCTGCAGCACAGCAGTATGATCCCTGCCTTAATGGTCAGATCACTCAGGCTAATTTAATGTTCTGTTGAAGCTTCTGGTATCTTTTTGAGACTCCTTTAGTAAGAGAGCTACATCTGAGTTCAAAGCCACGTACACCTGGGGCACCCAGTCATTGTTTTAGATATAGTTTCTACTACGGGAGATTCAGCAAGAGGATTAACATTCCTGCGGTATAAGAGAGCAGCCCATTGTGGCAGCAATATTGCCACCAGAGGTCTTAAAACTTGCCAGCATCTACCAGTAACTGAAAAAAATCAGGTTGATCTAAGCCGGTCATTCACCAGTAGAATTTCATTAGAAATAATTCAATTTTGGAGCATTCGATCAATTTTCTAATAGTTAACGGTGTCAAACTGACAATTAACTTCAACCATGATGACAAAGGAAACTTAAGAAGGATGACATGACATGGTTTTAACTCGGGAAATTCTATTCATCCCAAAATCGAACGTTACACGTCATTCGTCAATTCTGATGGTGCTATCGAATGTTCTGATGAGATTTTTAGTATGAATGTTTGTACGAAAATCTTCTAGTGTATGGCTAGCTTTACCTTTTAAAGCCCGTCTTTGGACAAACCAAAAAAGTACCCCTCACACTGTTAAGTGCTAATTTTTGTCTAGGAGACTGGACCTTCACTTATCTGATCCCCACTCCCTTCGGCTCCCCCTGGCCTGCTAGACCGGTCCATGCCGCCTCTTCTCTCCTTCACTCTGGCCTGGCAGTCTAATGACTGCTGATGTTTTCATGTCTAATGCAGGTCCCATAGACTGAGGCTGACCATAGACATGGGTTGTTCCAGCATCCGTTGTGGTGGGGAAGAAGAGGAGAGCATTGACAGCACAGGCAGGGGCAATCAGGGAAGTAAAACAGCTTTA